GTAATTATTGTTGATATGATATATGATATTTGATACATGACAAAATTGGCATGATTATGATATGTTGAAATATATGACAGGATGTGAAAACATGATGTAGCATGATGTTATATATGTGAAATATTATGTGGTGATGTGATATGATTAGTTAATGAAATATATATGACATGATGTGAAAACATTATTAATAAGACATGATGTCCTTATATGAAATATTGTGGTAGGGGTTGGCATGACCTGTGCCCTGGGGATAAAAAGAGTGATATAGCATGACCCTATTTGAAATATTTCATGATATGACATAATATGATGAAATATAGGCATATGATAGTACATTAAGTATTGTATGGCATGACATTGTGTATTGTGTATCTGTATCTTTTCTAATATGTTGCAGTTCGCAATACTGGTACTGTCACAATGAAATTATGTGAAATAAACTTGTGATGTACTGAATGTGCATGATGTAGTGTTATATAATATAATATGGCATGACATTTTAATACATGACATGGCATAACTTGATTTAAAATGTGACGTATGTGACATGACATGATAAACATTTTAGAACACAGAATATTATATGCCACAGAATTAAATTGTACAGGAATTAAGGGAGTGAACAGTCTTCTTTTCAAAGTTTGGCTCACTTATTTCAATATTTATTTCCTGGTGCTAAGAAATTATCTTGGTAAATTTTAAAAAATATTATCTTGAAATTAAATGTACAATTCTTCTGAATTCCAGTATTATTGTATACATATGTATTCTAAATGGATAGATTATTATGGGTGAATAATTATAAAAACTATAGATACATGTTTATTTGTATCTTGGGTCAAACTTTTATTTATTTATTTATTCCTACTAAAATGCAGTAGGATAAAATTAATTTTGAACAATATTGCTTACAGATACCAGTATGCCAAAACAGTCGGCAAAAGATTGGTACGATTATGCAATTTTAATGATGCTTATGATAAAGACATTTAAAAAACATAAACCATAGTAAGTCAGAAAGCATGCATATTATCAGAAATTGAACTGCAACTCAACTAAAGTTTGCATGCAGACTGAGCACCATCTCTGAAGACAACTAACAAGATTTCGTCTGATTGCAGAAAAAACTACCACTTGCATGTAGTGTGATTACTGAGGAGAGAAATGCAGATTTAATTGCAGTGGGTCAAGTAGAAGATTGTATTGATTTTAGGAAAGGTCGTCATTGGCAAGTTGAATTTGCTGGCTGAGATCAGCAGAAAGAGATAGCTGTAGCTACCAATTAGTTGGATGCTGTTGGCACAGTGAACCAACTGGAAGGCATCTTGCGATTCCTTGGTGCTAGATTCACAAAGAGGTAGATGATAACATTACATAATTTTATAGAGGTATTATTATCATTGTTGTTGCATTAATTATGATAGTGAATAGAAGATATGATAAAATGAGGATTCAGCAGAGAGAGGCAACTTTTGTCGGTTAAATAAGAAAATTAATGTCTTTTTGGATCATTGGTCTACCTTACATGTTGCAAGTGCAGTATTCTTTGTCGTAATGGTTTTGCTGTTGAGTTTTTCTCTACATGATCAATTCCGTCATTATTACAACAATTTTGATCATACACATGTATGTAAGACAGCTTGAGAGATGCTTGAAGGCGTAAGATATATCAGAAGCATGATTCACCATATGTTTAGCAGTGTATGAAATGGTTGTCATTATGTTAAGTTATTCCGGCTACATTTGTCACTGTCAACCTGAGCCATTAGTCAATTAAGGTATATCAGGTGTGAGGGAAGGTGCGATTTTAGAATGATATAGTGCAACATTGATAGAGTAAGTTGTATGTTTTTTCTACTGTTTTTTTTACTGTTTTAAAATTAAAAGTTTAATCATTTCATGTGCAGTATATCAGTTTTGTAAGATGCTAGATAATTATAGATATACTGATATAGCACACAACTATAATGCATTCACACAATGATAAGAAGATGATGGGTTTGTTATGCTTTTTTTTTTTCACATTTAAAACAAACCAGTAGCAAGACTTAATCGTTTTAAAAACTGTCACACATTGTATAAGCATACAACCTCATCAACATGATTGAACCTCTGAACAGAATGCTATAGTTATTAAAGAGTCATATGTCAGATAATTATGCAGTTGTTACATAATTTTATGATAAATACTTTATTGACTCATTAGGAAGGGACTATGGGCTCCTCATGCATGTTATTGTTTAGTTGTAATATTTGTATAACAAGTTTTACTAAATTATAAAATGTGTTGTCATTAAACACTATGAATTGTTCATTTTTTTTTCTAGCCTATTTGATAACTGTCTTGCCTCACTTTTAGTGACACTGTTGATGTGTTGGTCAAATGTATTACTAAGAGTACAGTGATGTAATGTATTTCTTGTCTACCCAATTAATGTAATTGGCAGTGTCTATTCCGTCATTTGAATTATTCATGGCAGGATCAGCTCTAGGCTACCTCTGCCTTATTTAATTATTGTGTAGGTCCAGCGTCCTATGCATTATTCTGTCCTCAGTTTCCACTATATTTGAGGTAGTTATTTGAATTATGGGTACATCTTTTTTCATTTAGATTCTGGTTAGGAAACAAATTTGTTTAGCAGGAGTTACCAGTTTTTATGCTTTGTAATACCCAGTAATGGAAGCCCTTTATTCATTTATCAAAATTTCTTTCCTATTATTCTGGTACAGATATCTTACAGTTACACAGAGTACCATGCTGTAACAGTTGCTTACACAGTGTTACATTGTATCTGTAGTTTGGGAGTATACTAGGTGCAATACTGTAATGGTTGGTTACATAGCGTTACATTGTATGCATAGTTTAGGAGAACACTGAATGCAATACTGTAGCTATTGGTTACATAGTGTTACATTGTATTCATTATCGCAAGTACACTTAGTACAATATTGTAATTGTTGGTTACATGCTGTTACATTGTATCCATAGCTTCAGGATAACACTGAGTAGAATACTAACTGTTGGTTACACAGTGTTACATTGTATTGATTTTGGAAGTCATCCCCCTTGCCTTTCCTAATGTACTTCAATTATACAGACTATAGGCCTTTAGTCAGTGAGGCATTACACATCTTGTGCAATAATGCGCACTTTGATATTGGAGCTTTTCATTTTTTTAAAATTTTTGCTTCCACAATTTACACTGCTTTTGTTTAACATTGATGTCCTTTTTGGTTGGAAAGTCACTCACTATTATATTTATAACTTTGATCGTCAGCTAAAGCTCTTTGATTTAATATGAAATATGTTGTCATTACCCACTATGAAATTCTTTCGTTAATTTTTTGTGAATATGTGAACATATTCTGAAATGATTATGCTTTTTTTTATTTAGACATACTTTTGGTAGGTCATCATCAGTGCTAAATAGACAATTCTTTCTTCAACACCTAACTTTCTATAGGTACGATCAATATTTCATGCTTTGGTTAAAAAAAAAACAATAAAAATGCTTTCCTAAAATCATTCATTTGTCCGTAACAGAAACAATATAAGACAATCACAGATGCGTAAACAAGAGTATGGCAATTGCAAGTGTGCACTCGTATGACATTTGACAAAGACGAAAAAGTTGGAATAATTGCAGTTTGGGTTGCAGCTGTCCTGTTAGATTCAACATCTCAAAACAATATTTTTTGCACCAGTTTTGCTGCATGTGCTGGAATTAGGCCCAGAATGCTAATTGAAATGCTTTTCTCTCACACCCAGAGGCGGTAGACAAATATATTGACCAGGGTCTATATCATAAACTGGAAGAGTTGGCGAAGAAGGTGACTGAGTAAGAGCAAGTGCAAGAAAATTGATATACTTAAAAGATTTTCTCCTCAAGCTGTTATTGTTATAGATTTATGATGAAACAGCATGCGGTTTAGCTGTACTCGTGTTTATCTATTTATACATGTATATACAGCATATCCATCTCTCTATCCATCCACCCATCCATCCAACCACCCATCCACCCATACACCCAACACCCACCTACTTATTCATCTACCACATACCTATACACCCAACTCAGACCCACATACCCGCCCATTCATCTATCCAAACACATTGACAATGTACAATGTACCCATACACCCAACACCCACCCACATACATTGGTGTATCCATCTAACCTTACACCCAACATCCACCCACATACCCACCCATTCATCTATCCAAACACATTGACAATGTACAATGTACCCATACACCCAACACCCACCCACATACATTGGTGTATCCATCTAACCTTACACCCAACATCCACCCACATACCCACCCATTCATCTATCCCTGCACCAACCCAACTACTGATTTTTCATTTTTTTTTTTCTGAAATATGGGTGTTTTTCTAAATACAGATATGATAAAGGTGAGGAGATGTATTTGCAGATTCTTAAGTATGAACAAATAATAACGGCATATAACTGGTAGAAGTTGCATCTCTTTTTAATTGTTAGCAAATCCACATTAATGACTTGCTAGACTAGTAATGCTAAATAGGTTGATTAAAAATGACAATGATAAAAAAAAGAGCATAACGAGAAATAGGATGTGAAAAAAGCTTATTAGGGGCAATTACTTTAGGTAGAGTCTGTAAATTACTGGATTATATGCTCCCAAAAAGATAAACTAATCCCAAAGGTATTTGTCTTTCCGAATGCATGGATTAGTTCTTAAATTATCATGATTCAATTACAAAAAGAGGACTTTGTGAACATTGAGGATGATTTTTTAAAATTATTTATTGTTTATAATTGTATTTGTATGTGTGTGTGTATTGTTTTGGTTGAATGACGTTATACAGACTTAAACAAAATATTTAAAAATATTTTTAAAATGCTGTCTTGAGATAATTATATTGATCTATGAACAAAGTTTTGTTGCTCATCAAAGAAATATTTCTGTCTTGGTTGCACTTTCAATTTACTAAAAGTTATTTATTTATTTCTAGATCACCTGTGGAACTGACTCATATGCTTCAGAAGCAGGTCCAATATTTTAACCACCTGTTTTTATGTGGTAAGTGGTACTTTGTAAAATAATTACACTTAACAGTTTTTAAAACTTTTGATTATAGAAAAAATGTGCAGTTTGATGAATGTCTTCTCCCACAAACACATATTTTCTCACCACGATCAATGTATATGGAAAGTTTGTGAACTCTAAATGGTAACTTGGTTATTTTCTCATCTTGAACATTGACTATATATTTTCATTATATAATTATGTGAAAAAAAAAAAGAATGGTATGGCAAGTAATCGCTTAGTTTGGAGAGAATAATCCTGATGTGGATGTTACATTGTGCATCTACTATGGAAGCGGAGGACTTTTTTTTTTCTTTTTATTCTTTTGGAGGGGGGATTCTATATATTTCAGGGCTCATCCTTTTCTTTAAGCAATTTTA